AAGTTTGAATAAAGACTCTAATTACCTTACCCATTACAAAGATAGCTTCCCCAATTATCACCTCTAATATCATTAACTCACAGACATTTACCTTCCCTCTCCCCCCCCCCCCCCCCCCCCCCCCGCCCTTCCCCACACGCCCCTCTAGCGCGGGTAGTTAGAACACATCTAGGCAAGGGAGCCAGCAGTTTATTATGATAATCTGCAGTTTCTGAACAAGGGCCTGTTTTGTCCAGCTTTGACACACTTAGGAGAAAATAAAAACAAATTAGCAAATGCACAAACCAAAGAGGAAGGGAAGAAAGTCATTTTAAGTGTCACATTCAAAGCGCCACGAAAAGGAAGAAGCGCGGGTAGTTAGAACACATCTAGGCAAGGGAGCCAGCAGTTTATTATGATAATCTGCAGTTTCTGAACAAGGGCCTGTTTTGTCCAGCTTTGACACACTTAGGAGAAAATAAAAACAAATTAGCAAATGCACAAACCAAAGAGGAAGGGAAGAAAGTCATTTTAAGTGTCACATTCAAAGCGCCACGAAAAGGAAGAGCGATGAACGTTCTAAATGGCCTTTAAATAAGAAACACAGCTGAAGGATCAGTTGATCTCCTGACCAACAGACTAATTACTAGCGTTCATCCACCTCTGCCCATCTTGGTTTTCAGAGAAAGAGAAGGAGGGGCAGCATCTTACATGCATCAGTGGGGCAGAGTCTAACAAAAAACGAGATTCCCATGGCAACAAGCAACAGCTTTTGTAAGAAAGGCCTGCTAGTAGTTGTGAGGCAATATGCTTTGTAGATACAGATTTTAATATTAGAGAGATCACCTATGTACACAAACACACAGCAGGCCAGATCCTGAGCTGATAGGATGGCGAACAGCTTCAGTGACTTCAGTAGAGAGAGACCAATTTAAATTCTCCCTCCCTTCCAAATATCTGGATTAAACAAAACAAATCCCACATGATCACCCTGAGAAAAATAGTTTAAAAGGAATCTTTTGATGTTGTTTACCTACAGCAGAACCTCACATTAGCATAACAGAGATCAATCGTTAATGCAGAAGTTTGCAAATTACTAAAGAGTACCAGGGCTAGTTCTACGGTGGGCAAGAAGAGTGCCAAATAAAGGGTGCCAGCTTCCTGGAGGTGCTGTACTTCTTTGTCTTTTTTTGCTCTGCTGATAGGTCAAGAAATTTTGGGAAGGACAGGAGGGAAACATGACTAAATAATTTTCCTCAATGACCAGCCACGCAGTTAGGGCCACTCCTGGATTGTAGAGTTCTTGCAGCACCTGTGCTGCGCTGTTTTGTTTTGATATTTCATATGTTACCAATAAGTGTGCTGCAATAGAAGAAGGCAGCAGCAGCATAATGGTTACAGAAAGCGCCTGAGCGGTCATCCCAGCTCTTCCAAATTCAGGGGGCTTGGGCCAACTTTATCTCCATGACTCAGTTTCCTCACTATTAGTTTTGAGATTTAATACTTTCAACAACAATTTGAAAATGTGAAACAGTATTATTAATAGCAGTTTCAATAGACAGGACAGATAGGATAGAATTTTTCAAGTACCTAAAAGGGTGTTATAAGGGGAAAGGAGAGAAGTTGTTCTCCTTGGCCTGTGAGGATAGGACAAGAAGCAATGGGCTTAAATTGTAGCAAGGAAGGTTTAGGTGGGACATTAGGAAAAACTTTCTGTCTGTCAGGGAGGTTAAGCACTGGAATAAATTTCCTAGAGAGGTTGTGGAATCTCCATCACTGGAGATACTAAAGAGCAGGTTAGACATCTGTCAGGGATGATCTAGACGGTGCTTGGTCCTGCCGTGCAGGCAGGGGACTGGACTCGATGACCTTTCGAGGCCACTTCCAGTTCTAGTATTCTAGGATTCTAATAATGTATTTTGTAAGATTTGAGAGGAAGTTTCACTATAGCACTTTGGTGTTAAGCCTTTGCAGGATCAGAGCACAAAAACGCTCAGACATACTTCAAATTATACCCCTCAAATGGTCTCACTGACTTACATGGGATTACTCCTGGTGTGTAAAATTAAGCTCGTGCAGAATCAGAAGGAATATTTGAAATAAATTTTTTTAAAATGAGTGGTCCCATAGCACCGTGAGCTTTTGTAGGCACAACCCACTTCTTCAGATTAGTGGAGCAAGGGGCACAGAGGCAGCACAGAAACACCCAAAATTGAGTGTGTTAGTGAATCTTCCCCAGGCAAAAAACAAACTAACAATTAGTAGTAGTTGTGCTTGTTGCTTAGAGCAATAAATGGGGGAACTCCTGCTATAAACATATAAAAAGTTAATGTACATCATATGCAGAAAAATATACTATGTACAGTTTAAATCAGCTTTAGTTTCTAAGTTATGGACACAATACTTTATGCAATATTTTTTACTTGTATAGAGCACCATTGGCCCATTCCCATTAGTTTTTTCTTGTTTAAATTCAAGCCCTAGACAAAGTTTCTCTCTAGAATACTCATAAGGTGGATACTGAAAGAGGTCAAAAGTAATAATACTTGGTCAGTCACAGCAAAGTGAAGCATAACATATAATGCTGGAAAAGAGAAGACTAAGTCTGAATTGATAAAGTAAAAATCAGGTAATATATGCTTCCCTGCTCAGAATCCTCATAAGGACTGCAAAGCACTGCAGAGTAAAAATAATTTTTCAGAACTTTTTAGTGATAAACAATGATAATTTTCTATTGTTAACATGTCTGTTAAACTTAAGCAACAACTTCCTCAATATGGTTTGTGACACTTTGAAAGGAAAAAGATGTTCCTTGTATTACTGTTGTCTAAATGGATGTGATAAGACTGTGTCAGAGTTTTTAAATTGTTTCAATGAGCTAAGCTGCTTATGACTAGTTAGCATTCTATTACAGCTATAAAGAAGAGTTTAAAATGCAAGATTTTTTTTGTTTTGTTTTTTAAACCAACATTATTGCTGGCATCATATAGAAGCTATACCCCTTGCCCTCTAGGCAATTACGGTACATTTCTGAAAGCAAATCCCTCTGTTTAGGTCACTGACTTAACATGAGTTAACTCATACAGAACACGCATCTCTGAAACCAGGTTATGCATTTTGTTGACATTTTACAGATTCCTAGAATTACTGTACAGGCAAACAGAGTTCTTCCCCCATAAAAGAACCAAGACTTTTCCAGTCAGCTGGCACCAAGCACAGGTATCATTCCACAGGTGATCTATTCATGTTAAATAAAACAAAGGCTTTATCAACAGGACTAGCCAAAGGTCACTCTGTGCTAAAAATGCCACTTAAATCAGATTTTTTTTTTTTAGGTCACTCTGTGCTAAAAATGCCACTTACTTAAATCAGATTTTTTTTTTTTAAACTAGCTTTTTTTTTTTTTTTTTTTAAGAAAAAGGTTAAAGCAGTTATTGAAAAGCAATGGCAAGGACAGCAAGTTTACACACCAGCCAGCAAACTCCCACCTTGTACCAGACAAAGCAGTGTCCAGGACCAGCTGCCAAATCAATCCATAAAATTAAATTTAATGTAAGCCCAGTTTTTTTTGCCACCCAAAGCCACCAGCAGCTTAGGGCCCAAAGCTTGTCTCACCTGCTTTAATAGGAACTTGTCGTCCTCATTGGTCTTCAGGGAGATGGCCAGGTGGATGGCTGAGAGGACCACCCCGCTAATGACTGCAGCCCTCATTCTGACTGGCAGCAGCGTGTAGATGCTGTAGATGAAGAAGACAGTCCACCACATGCCCTCAGAGGCACTCCTGTGCCAGACCAGCAGCACCCCCACCACCTGCACTGCCACGATGGCCAGGATGACTGAGTAGCACACTAGCCACATGTGGTCCTGGTGGAAGTCATTGCGGTTGCACAGCACGCACAGCACCATCACCAGCAGGATGGCCAGCGAGAGCACCACCACGTAGGGCACCTTGTAGTGACCATACACAGTATGGAAGATCAGCATGACCAGACACACCAGCACCAGCACGGCCATCAGCATGGTGAGGCTACTCTGGTTGAGCCGGAAGAAGTATCGCTGGTAGAGGCGTTCCAGCTTCTCCGACTGGAACTTCTTGGACCTGAAGATCTGCATCAGGCTGCCACAGCAGCTGCCCATGGAGAAAGCCATCTGGGAGTCCTCTTCCTCCTCCTCTAATTCCTCAATCTTGGCCTTGATCCGCCTCTCCTCCAGCCCCAGCTCCACAGACCGGGGCCGCACCTCACCTGGCTCACCAAAGTGCCGAGGGCTGTTGGTAGAAGTGGGATCCCCCCTGCGCTGATGGCGGGGGCGGTGACTGTCTTCGCCATGCTCCTGCCAGGCTGACTTAGATCTAAAACTCATCATTCTGCAACCACTCTCCCCGTGGTGCCTATTGGGCTGAGGTTCATAGTCTTCCTCGCTCCTCCACCTGCTTGCCATACGGGAGGCCTTTTTGCTCGACGACCTGTTTGGGGCAGGGGGATAGGAATAGCCATTGGCCCTGGACTCAGCTTCCCCCCAAGCGGATCGATGCTGCTCCGTGCCTCCCCGGGGTGCAGGGGCACCGAAGCCCGGAGGACTCACACTGTTGGGCCGGGACATGCCCTGCAGCAAAGAGCTGGTAAAGGGGACAAGCCACAAAGAAAAAAAAAATCCGCTCACAGCCAGGAGGGACAGGGACTTGATGGTCTGAGCATCTTCCTCCCAGCACCAGCAGAGCAATACAAGGGGAGCCAAAGCTGCAGATCCTTCCCTCTCTGGCAAAGCCCTGGCTCTGTCAAAGTCTCAGGTTGGCAGCAATACAAGATTCCCGCTGGTTGTAGGGTCACCA